TTGAGGGATACGTTTACAAAAAATATGAAGATTTGGTTAAGTTTGAGGTAAATAATACACCAGTTTTTCTGATTCACCAGATCTCAAAACATAATTTGAACTCTCTTGGCAGTTTCAAAAAACTCTTAGTGGAGCTTAAAATTCGTAAAAATATATATATAAAGTATATATTTACTAAAACGTGTTAGACTTAAGCGAGTAAGTTCAATAAAAAAAATTATAGCACCTTTGTGGATTTTTTGTACCGTGAAAATAAAACCTCAGCTGAAATAAAATATGATTGAGGTAAGGATAAATTTAATTATTGTGTCTCATAAAACTAGATCTACACATAATTATTTACCACTTCTGATACACACGTTGTGTTTTATAAGAAGTTTTTCATATTTGGTAAACTATCAAAAATCAAATACATCGTAAACTCAACAACTCACTATTGCAGAGAACCGTGTTATAGCCTCTGAAAATGTTTGAAAAACTTTCTAGAAACAAATTAAGTGCCGATAACTTAAAATAAAATTATACTACATGATTTCATGGTTAAATTTAATTCTAAATTGCTCTAATATTCAAAAACTGTATCAAAGTGTTTCAAAACTACGTTATCTCTTAAATCATTTTCAGACTATAGAAGTTTCTCAGATTTTATTAAAGGTTCTTGGCAGTGGTATTACCTTGATTGAAGTTTGTTTTAGTGAATTTCCCATATAGGGAATAAGCTATTTTGTAATGACAATGTTTATATATATTATATTTATAACATGCATTGAAGCGATTGAAGTGACAAAAATACTCTGAGGTTTAATAACTACAAAATGCTTTTGTATTAACCTTGAGAAAGGTCATAAGACTTAAGGGATGAATCAGTAAAAAAAAATATTTTGAATGGTAAAGTGTAAATAGTTGTAGTTTTATAACATTATTAGCCACTAACCATCCATTTATCTACCAAAAGTATTTAAAAAACTCCCAGTACAGAATGTTACAGAGAAGTACAGTATAATTCATCATTAAGGTCAAGTTTTTTTTTCAGCAAGAGATTAAGAAAAATGTGAGCATAAAAAAGACAAAGTTGGGTTTGTGATTGTTAAACTAATCTGCAAAATAGTGTTACCACAAATGTCTCATTCTGTCTGATACAAATATATTTTACATAACACATCTCAAAATAATGTTGATTATAAAAATAATTGAACAAATTAGTTGTTTTTAAGTTGGCTGTACACTATCATCCACAAATTATTTACAAAATAAGTATTGCTTATTATAAAAATAAAACAAAAATTTTAAAACTTAAAATACTATCACAAAAATCTTTGGTCTGTTAAATTACATCAAGCTGTTCAAATATCTAAGAAATATATTTAAATCTTACCTTCTTAATGTAATATTTTATTTGTGCAGTTTTATTTTGCGCCATTTAGTAAAACACAGTGAAACGTCAACAATACAGATTAATTGAGAATCTATTGGATGAATAAAGATCTGTTTATAATTATATAAACTATAAATTTGAAGAGAGCACTTTTCTAAGTAGGTTTTAGGGCTCCTTGCATTGCAATCAAGGTAAATTAAAATTATATAATTTTAATATTTTGTAAATCTCTAATCGTAATTTAATTACTTTATCCAATTTTATTGTAAATCTTTGAGGTGCACAAAATTTAAATAAATAAATATATATTCTATTCAGAAGGTTGAGGCGGTAAAAAAAACCCATATAAATTTAATTTACACTCTCACATTATACCATGTTTTATCCAAAGATAAATCTCCTAAAATTTATCCGACTACATTCCAGGATCAGTAAAGATATAGAGGCTTCATAAAATATGTTCTGTGTGGCACAGATTAGACCGGAAGACTACACACATATTAGCACCAAAGTGGATAAAAATATTTTGTAGCGAAGAAAACATGTAAGGAAATTAAATTTTTAACATCTTAAAACACTTTGAGATATAAGTTGGCACGATAAGGAAGCAGAATCTCTAAAAAAGGTGCCAACTTTGATTTAAAACCAACTTAAAAGTAACTTAAGGGCTAAACCCCAGAAAAGGTAAGGTACAGAGGAAACTTACTTATTTACTTGTAAAGGTACAAGTAGGGACTGTGCGCTTTTAGCTCTATAGTCCTCGCCACCCTAAGTTGAGGCAGCCCAAGGCCGCACGGCGTATATCTAGTGCGGCCTTTGGCTGCCTCAACTTAGGGTGGCGAGGACTATAGTATGTTGTGCGGGAAATATACTTAATTGTGACGAGCAAAGAAGAGCCTAAGTGGCAAGTCTTGTGCGCAATTCCTATCGCACAGGACACAGGGTCTTCCTACAGTGAGAGTCTCGTAGTACATGAGGGGAACTGTGATGCTCTTTGCTCTAGACACCAGCGATTAGTCATAGACACCACTTAAAAGCACCATTGAATGTTTCCTCTGTAACCTACTTTTCTATGTTTGAACATATTTTTAAAACTAAATTCTTTACGAAATATTTAATTTCTCAAACAACTTATTCTCAAAATGTAAAATCAATGCCAATCCGTGTGTTAAGTAAAAAAAAAACATAATTGTGTTCAAACGTTAATCTAAAGATTAACCGAATTAATAACATTTGTGAATACTTTTATCATTTGTTTTTTTGCAAACTAAGAATTTGAATGGGTTTTTCACATCCCCTCTAGGTATTCAACATAAAACAACAAAGATATTGATTTTTAGTTTCAATAATAATCTAATAAGGTAAGAAAAGGAGAGAACATTAAAATTATTGCAACGTCAAAAACAGGTTCATGTACACTTATACAACTTATGTACACAATTTCTACTCTCTACACATTTATCTACATCTATTTACATCATCAAAATAGTCACAGCAAACATGTAACACACTTTTATAAATCATTAAAATGAGATTATTAAAAAATGCTTCTGGATCAATTGGCAGGAAAATATTGTGTTGCTTCTTCTAACTAATAACTAAATTCAAATAAGCCCCTAAATTTTGGCTAAAAGTAATTAGAGAAAATTGCATTAAATTTAACCTGGCTAGTTTCAATTCTGTGTGATTTAATTCCGCGAGGTGGTGCGATATGCTGGATGCTCTGGAGAACACCTTCCACGATCCGGCATACCTCATGCGTATCATAGAGGATTATCTCCGGTTCCCCCTCCTCATGTATGAAACTACAGAGGGCCCACGGAGGATGAGTGTCACTTCCGGTGCTGCCCAAGGTTCCATACTCGGCCCAGACCTCTGGAATGTCACTTATGACAGCCTCCTGAGGTCTGAAATGCCTGAGGAAACTGTTTTGGTTGGGTACGCAGACGACGTTGCAGTTTTGATAGCTGCACGTAGCGTTGAGCTGGCTCAGCTAAAGCTGAACCGAGTTATGCGTACCATAAACGCAAGGATGACAGACCACGGTCTCTCGCTTGCTTTGAGCAAAACTGAGATCGTGATATTAACAAAAAAAAACGGATAGACACCATCGTACCATCGTTGAGGGTAGGGACCGTCGTAGTTCAGACCGTTCGGTCTGCCAAGAACCTTGGGGTTATGGTGGACAACAAGCTTAGCTGGCGGGATCAGATTTTCCGTGCGGCAGACAAGGCCGCTAGGGTTGTCTCCCATCTTAGCCAGTAAATGGCCAATGTCAGAGGTCCTCGGTTCAGCCCCAGTCTGTACTCTTGTACGATACTGAGGTGTGGGCAGACGCTCTCAATAAGGAGGTATATAGGATGCGGCTAACCTCGAGTGCAGATTCAGGCAGCATTAAGAAAGAGGCATCTGCCTACCAAACAGTGTCCGAACCCGCTGTCCTGGTGGTTGCTGGAGTCATCCCCGTCAAACTTTTGCTGGCGGAGAGAAAGGCAATTTATCAGCGCCGTGGGGAGGACCAGGCACGAACAGAGGAACGCACCCGCACCTACCAGCTGTGGCAGGAGAGCTGGGAACAGGAGACTCGGGGACGCTGGACCAGGCGACTGATACAGCAAGTCCAACCTTGGGTTAATCGGCGGTGCGGAGAGGTGGACTTCTACCTCACCCAATTTCTGACGGGTCACGGCTTTTTCCAGTCGTACCTGTTCAGGATGGGCAAAGCCATGTCACCCGATTGCATATACTGCCTAGAGATTCCCGATGACGTGGAACATACCTTTTTCCACTGCCAGCGTTGGGAAAGGCCCCGCCTGAAGGCTCAACAGTTAGTAGGACTGCTGTCAGTGGACACGGTCATACCGATGATGACGGAGGGTGAGGACAATTGGACCTGTGTGCCACATTACATTCAGGGTATTCTCCGTGCCAAGAAGCTCGACCTTGACCGGGATGCTGTGTAGGTCATAAAGAATCTAAATGCCAGAAACGGTGTGAGCCCTGAGGGCTTAGGTCACATGTTGGCCTGGCTTGAAGTAATGTGACAAACAATTCCAGGTCTATGTCCAACATAGTAGAGGGGGTTTTTTAGTGAGTAGTCGGATGATTTCAGGAGTCTCACACTACAGGCTGGCTACCTGTGTGCGTAAAAGCATTTTCCCTCCTCTCCCTTAGAAAAAAATAAAAAAATTCTGTGTGATTTATCAAGACAAGACCCACTGAGCTGTGTTCAATAAAACGGATCTAGACAAATTATTCATTTAGTTTTTAACCAAGCATTTTAAAATTTTTACAAACTCAAATTTAATCAACTGAACACATATACGAAAACACTGTTAAGGGTACTAACAAAAGTGTGTTACTTATTGTATACTTTGTGTGACATATAATCTACAACATTTACTACAAGTAAAAAATAGCCTAAGAATATGCTTCAGGTAGCATTTTGGCGCTGACTTCCCAGTCCAACAAATAATCTTGTCTTTCCTCTTATCAAATCCAGACAAACTAAAATTACTGTAAAGTTTAATTAAATAATTTGTTTTGGTTGAGAAATGGTACAGTAAAACTAAAATTTCAAACCAAATGAAATGGGAGAATTGATACATGTTGAGGAACACCAATCAAATATTAAAATCTTAGCTGAAAAACTCAAGACAAGTTAGTGAACCAGTTTGTAAAATAACTGCAAAGACAAAAGTTAAAAATAAAAATTGGAATTTGTTAACAATCAACATATCTCTTCAACTCTTTACCGTTTGGCACTGACAACACGATACATATCCTTCTGAAGGAAATATTCATCTATAAAATATAACACTTTACCTAACATGTCCTAAAATACCTCGAGTGGTAGGCACAGATCTATAAAACCTATAACTATCAGTAGTCTCTTTGAGAGTCACCCATCACTATAACCTTTAAAAATATTTGTAATACAAACTATGAAAACTCTAAACCAAGCTGAATTCACAATTCAGGCTCCACTAGGTGGAAACGGTAAAACTATATCACTAACGGAATAAAAGCGTAATCAATACTAATTTTTTCAGCGATAATCAGCCATTTTGAGTTTGACTCAAAACTATATAGACTTAACGGAATGTTTGTAATCATAAACCTTGAGCTGCGTTCCTGATGGTTCTTACTGGTTGACGAAAGAGCTGTTCTTGGATAAAAGACGAGCACTGCTCTCTGAGGAGGCGAGGGGCGCTGCCGGAGCTTTTTTCCTGTTCTTCGGCTGTGACCCGCTCGCTCCTGTCTTTGCCTGCTATGGGTTCAAGAAGGAGCTGTTCTTGGAGAGCAAACCAGCGCTTGATTCAGACATCTGAAGCGCTGAGGACTTGGCGCTCGCTGAAACCCTGGCTCGAGACTTGAAGTTGGGAGTGAGACCGAGAACTAAGTTCTGTAATCACAAAATGAATTTACTTTTATACTCCGAGCGGCTATTATACAGCGGAACGATATATCAAATCTTAAAGGGTAAGTATTACAAGTATCAGTTTCAACCCACCTCCTTGAAAGTTCCCGGAGTTGTGATAAGATAGTAGATGGCGTATCCTGGAATCCACAGCATGGATGACAGACTGAGGCCAATGCCAATCAATTCTGCCCAGTCCGGGTAAACGTATGGACCGTACTTGGCAGGTACGTACATCACTATGTAGAATATGAAGATAGACTGCAACATGTTCGGAGTTTAATATCAGATTATTTTACAGACACAATTAGTAAGCAGCATTACTGGATTTACATAATAATAATCACATAAGATATCCCCTGTTACTTCATATCAGAGTACTTTAAAATTTAACGGCTAATAGTGGCTAATAAGTGTGAAAAAGATAGGTTAGCATATTCATATTTGCTAATCCATCTTCCATTTATGGATACAAAATTCTGTTATTCAGCTGTTCATGGGCGTAAATTATTTTATTTTTATGAATGAAAGATTAGAGTATGAGACAAGTGAATAAAAGGTTAACACGTAGAGTGCGGCCGTTCCCGATCGGGTACGGCGCTTGGCCCCCGTACGGTGCGTCCGTACCCCATCGGGAACGCTCGGTAATGCCTTTTGTATATCTTCGTTTTTGCTCTAGCGTCGGCCGAAAGCGGACCTATACGACGTTAGCGTGTAGTATGTGACTTGCATTTTGTTGTGGTGTAGGTTGGTAGTAAATTTCCCCGTAAAATTCCCGTCTGGCAATCTCAAAAGTCTTCTTTTTGTCCCGTCTTTTTCCCTCCATTTGGCAATACAATTCCAATGGGACCGGCTACGTTCCAAGCAGTGCTGCTATCTGTGGGTGTTTAGCGAACTACATCGACTCTCGTTGTAAAGCAGGACATCCCCTCACGTTATTTGCTATTCGTCAGACCAAAATTGAAAAGGCCAATCACACGCGGCAATCGGGTTTACTCGACGCTGAGGGCTGCGCCGCACTGGGGATACGCCCGCTATTTGACGTGCCGCAGCGAACGTGTTAACATAGAAATCAAACATAAATTGAAAATAAGAGTGGGTTTGATCAAGGCCACACTAAATTAACAGGCCGTAGCTCTGGGAGGACATCAACATGGGAATATTTATTCATTAATACATCTAATCTACCAATATATTTTTTTTTTTTTGTCTTAGGACGCTAGGCACGAGCCTGGGATTGTTTTTCACATTACTTCAGGCTAGACCTAAGGGTTACGGCATTATCACTTAGATAAAATCCATTGGTGACTTGGCGGGGATCGAACCCGGGACCTCAGGGACCGAAGTCCCGTGCTCTTACCACTACACCAGCTCGCTCCCCAATCTACCAATAATTCTATTTAATAAGTCATAACTTTGACAGTGCGTACAAATGAACATTCCATTCTCATATTAAAGTAGCCGGTTTTAGAACAAAAATGAACGTAGATATGAATTGAGTGGCCAGCAGATTTAGTCGAATATGCTAACTTCACAACCAAGCCAAATTGAAAGGAGAACTATCGTAGGCTATATAATCTTTTATGTTACCTATAACAGTAACATAGTAGTAAGATAGCATTTTGTGAGTAACATCTTTGACTATTAAATTGAACTAGACATTCCATCCCCATCTTAAAATTGTTGCTAGTTTTTAATTACTGATTTCTGTCAAACTACAGACTTTGTAAAGAAGTCAAATCCATAGGACAGCTTATTGTAATAGCATATTTTATCTCCCTTTAACTATCCCAGTAACAAAATATATGGTAGAATATAGAATTGTATACACTTAGCACATTCTGTGACTGGCTCACAGAACCATGTTCTTCTTTAATAAAAAAATGGCAAGTCAATAGTCACACTCACCACCATCGTGGCTGGAGCGAAGAAGACCCAGCAGAAGTACCAGAACCTGTTGGGCCTCACACCCATCATTTGGTGAACACAGTCTATGAACTTGCCAGCTCCAAATATCCAGGAAATTGCGATGGTCTGGAAGAAACAAACCCACAGGAGACACATCCCGGAAGCGGAGTAGTAATCCATCAGCTGGAATATGTATGCTCCGCCCTGCAGAAATAAGAACCATACAGCACAGTAGTTTGGATAAAAAAGTAGGTGTACAGAAAAGTTAATCAAAATCACTTAGGAGCGTAACATTTTTTCTGTCCTAAATGCTAGGCCCTATAGCAAGGGATTTTTTCATATTACTCTGCCTAAGAATTGAGTCATTGCTTGGGTGAAATTCATTGGCGATTTGGCAGGATTTGAACCTCGGAACACAGGTACCGAAGTCCTCTACCACTATCAGCTTGATCCCTTAAGGTAAATTAATAGGAGCTTGATTTGGGAATATTTGTAATTTAAAATCTTACAGACTATAGATCCTATATGCAATATGCATGCATGGAATGTATCCAGCAAACAAGGCGGGGGGGGGGGGGGGGGGGTAATATACAAGGTTGAAGTGTACTGATAAAAAGTATAGTGGCAGGTATAAGGATCCGAACCAACGACACTGCCTTTCACACGAAGTATACTACCGACTGAGCCACCGAGAGGCTATTCTCTGAGTAAGATTAGTTATAGCTGAATGCCAAGAATGACAGCCAAAATTGCCCAACAGCTTATTTTGGGTAAAAAAATCTTCTCAGTCCGATATGGGGTAGTTTGATTACTTAATTTACTGGATCAGAGGTGTTTGACTACAATTTGCTCAAATATGGCTCTCTAGTTGTTTGTTTTTACTCTAGACTTTAAAGGACAATATTGGAAACAAAATCTTGTACAACCTTCAACAACAATCTTAAAATGTAATTACTAATTTTAAATCAATATTTTTAAATTTCATCATGGAGCAACAGCTACACATTACAGGAGGTAGCACTGATGTGAAGTATCTACACCTGGCCAAATACCTGAGTGACCATAGGTATGCCCAGCAGACACAGCAGCACACATACGGCCATAGTGAACTTGGCCCGATGTGGCCGGAGAGTTTCTGGCCAGTTGTCAACCATGCCCGTGATGAAAGACTCTACGATACAGAACTCGCTGTCTATACCCAAGATCTGCAATACATCAAGGTTAATATATGAGTTAATTTAGAACACTTTAATTGTGAGTTTTAGGACTAATATTTTGGATGCCAAAGTAGACATCATATCTACGTGGGAAAACTGCAGCAAATTTTGTTCAAGAATTTTCTCTAGGCCAGGATTTTGAATTGTTGAATAAAGCCCCGTAGCAGATAGCTTACTGGTACCTGAAAAAATACAGGTAGGACATAGATCAGACAGAAGTCAAAAAACAAAAGACACAATATGTCAAAGTGTAAAGAGAGAGTTCACAAAATGTTGTAGAAAATTTTAATTTTAAGACCATCGGTTATCTAGTGAAAAATGTAGCTTTTTAGGTAAGGTCTTACTCAGTTACCAAATCAAACTATTAACGTATACTCACCACCAGCATTGAGAAGAATATGGCAGCCCATGCTGGCGCTCCAGGCAACTTAAGCACCACTTCTGGGTATGTGAGGAACACCAGACCAGGACCACTTTTTACCACCTGCAGGGGAATATGGGAATTAAAACTCAGTCAAGGGGGCAGGAGAATTAAAACTTAGTCAGAGAAATATTTAAAAAACATTACATTGAATTTTTTCCCCGGATTTAAATACTACAAGTTCCCCAAAAATATACCTGCATCCATGTCATCTGATGCATTGTGATATGGCAACTAGTTTTATCTCATATGCTAGTCATCCTCAGGCTTGTACTGAGATGTCTTTGTGCTTTATTTGAAGGTTGGTAATCAATAAGTAGATCCTTGATAAAAAGTATCTCATGGGGATTATTAAATGAGACTTCTTATCAAGGTTTGCAATAACATGCGATGAAGGGTCAAATAAATTCAAGGGTATTTGAAAATAACATTTGTTATCAAGGGTTTTGGTATCAAAGTTCCACTGTAAATAAGACACGCACACTCACGGACATAAAACACCGACATTTAGGTAACAAAAAACAAAAGATAACACTAGGAATTTTGTGGGACCCAAAGTGATTAGGCAAAAGTATATCAAATAATAGTTGAAAGCAAACTGAGATATTGATTGTAACACGTGTAAACACTATTCAAAAATACTTTTCACTCTCAAAACAATTTCTTGCTGAAGGGTCTGTTAATCAATTGCTTACCTCAGATACGTGAGTGCCTTGTTCCAGAGCAATGTTGCCCAGAATGGAGAAAGTGACACATCCGGCCAATAAACAGGTCAACGTGTTAACAATGCAGGTTATAATGGCATCCCTGAAACAACATAAGTGTTATGTTAGTTTAAAAACATATACAACATCTTAATCCTATTTATCTTAATCCTATTTATCTTAATCCTATAAAAACAGACCTTACAATCCTTTTATTTTAAATGTTAAGTAAGTATTTGGTAATATAGCCACTCTGTTGCTTTATCAAGTTTTTTTTATTTGATTTTTTATTTTTTATTTAAAACTTCTATTAAACTCTGCAATAGAGATTTTCAAGCGTGACGTCTTAACCTGGGATAAGTACCGTAATCAACTTTTGCGTTGTGAAAACAGCTGTAGTGACAATCAGCCAGCAACAAATCAATCTGAAAATAACCCAGGTTTAAACCTCTATTATAATTTATCATATTTACTACATTAGGACAGAAATAACAGAAGACCATTTTATAAATATGTAAATGCATGTGTCTAATAATAGCATATCATTAATAAAGTGATGAACTACTATAATAGTGCTACTATAATCGGGCTATACACGGGAGTAAAAGTTAAAAGTGACTCTTTTTTACCCGAGCTCAAGTTTTACGATCGAGGCGAAGACGAGTTCGGAAAATAAGCGAGGGTAGAAAGGTCACTTTTTGCCCGTGTGATGAAGTATATTTTTTGTCATATTGCATTATTATTTTAGCAAACTAAGCTAGGAAACAAAAATACCCTACTGTTCATGTACGGTTTATTTTACGTACATTTCTACTTTGAATTACTGTGAAAATATACAAACTTGTAGCAATTATGATGGAACTTGTTGTAAGAGCCGAGGGCGGGGAGAGCGCCAGTGCCGATGCTGTAGGCGAAGAATATCTGAGTGGCTCCGTCAATCCAAGGCCCAGGACCGAGTAGTTCCTCCCAGCGAGGTGTTATGTAGTAAAGTAGTCCATCCCCGGCACCAGGCAAAGTCACCCCTCTCACTAGGAGCACTAGGAGAACTACGTATGGGAAGAGGGCCGTGAACCAGATGATCTGTCACAACAATACATTGATTAGTGGTTTGAGTGAAAAATTTGAACTCCTTTTGATTGGGAGATACTTTAAAGATGCTGTGGAGTGAAGAAGGAAATAAAAAAGTGTATGATTCTGGATGTTAAGTTATAAAGATAACCAGAGAACAACAAAATATTTTTCATCACTCTGAATTTAAAAATAGCCCATTTCCATACAGCTGAGATCTTCGAAAATCTTCAATTTCACTAAACCAAAAACAAATAGTGATCAGCTGACTCTTTTCCTGGCATAAACATTACTTTTGCTACACAAACAATACTTTGCCTGACATCAACAAAGTTACAACTGAAGTTCCTGGTTAGCTCAAAAGGAGTGATGAAGTAGCTTTTCATCGTGATAAAAAGTATCATTCAATACTCGTCAAGAAAGCCCCATTTCTGGTCTTCGACTCTCATGTAAAAACACTATCTCGCCCCAAAATGGGTCACTTTCATGACTAGTAGTGAAGTATACTATTGTAATAACATCTATTAACTAAGTATTTAAAATACTAACTGTAAAAGCTAACTAAGGCAATTTTCCACAAAATTGAAGATCATAAGTATAATTTCAACCAAGAAGAGCTACAGAGTCTTTAAAACATTTTATACTTAGAAACACAGGTTATAAATCACTTGTGGTCTAAATAATGTGTAAACACTCTTTTGTTTGGTTAGTTTGTAATGTTTATTTATATCAATTCGTTACAGTAATAAAATTTTGCCCACATGTGCATACATCTTAAAAGTGAAATAAATTTATGTCCCTAACGGTACGTTCTCTCGTTGTGGGTCATATTTTCAATAGAAAACCAGAACACCCTGAAAATGTTGAATTTGTTAAATTTTTTAAAACCATCAACCTTTTACCTTTCCACTCTGATGCAGGCCTCGGCAGATGATGAGGTAGATCAAGACCCAGCCTAGCAGCAGACTCCCTAGTAACTCCCACTGCATTCCTCCCAGCTGGTCTATCCCGGGGGAGATTTGTAGCACCCGCTTGCTGCAACATGACACTACCATGTAAAATCTTGGCAATTATCTAGAAAAACAAATTTTAAAAAATCTATCATATTAATGTTTTACGGCTCAAAAGTTTTGTAGTTGAAAAGGCTGAATAGTGAATAATGATTCAGTGTAAAATGGTGTGAGAAGCAAAGAGTAGCTTGCTGATGACTAAGATCAGATGTTTCGTTTGCCAAGAAAACTTATTGCACAGGGTAAGGTATACAAAGGAAACTCGCTTATTGGACAACTAATGGCAGATTATGCTAGAGGTTATGTTTCTGTCAATGTACTGTTATGCAATTGAAACATGTTAAAAACTAAACAAACAACACAGAGATTTGTAAATCAGTGGTACAACTTTGAGGGTATATATAGGCACTGAATCTACAGTCAACCCTGGAGCCATGATATCAAAACACATTCTAAGTGATGCTGTATGCTACTTACTCCCAATACTCTTCCACGGGCGTAGTTGTGTGGTTGGTACGGTTGTGGATCAACGTTGCGTTCATACCAGGCGCAAAGCAAGTCTCCGTATTCCACCAATTATCTATAACAAATAATTGAGATTTTTGACAACGTACGATTTCTATGTCAATGACTAGGATTATTAAATTCCTACCTTGGTTACATGACTAAGCGACAGAGTTTTACCATACAAATCACAGTTACAAGTTGGTAGGATATATGTAGGTAGGAGCTATGTTAACCAAGGTGGAAATTGACTATTATTCACACATAGATGTGCCTGATGTTGCAATAACTCCCAAGGTTAGAATACAGTGGAGCTTAGGGTAAAAACCCAGTGGAGCAGGGCAAGTTATATACTTGCTGGTGGCTTGTAACCTGGCTTACCTAGTAGGATTCCCAGTTTCAAGAACAATTAATTATGAGTATGAAAATTTACCTTGAAGTTGACAGGTTCTTGAAATTTGTGCGATTACTAAACTCTATGTAAATTTCACCACTTGTGTTGTGTTGTTGTGTAGCATCATCAGAAGCTCATATATTACTATATACTAGGATTGCTTTCATAGCAATGAAAGCCAGTTGAGCGGAGAAATCATGTTTCATGGGTTTTAAAGCAATAAATGAAAAAAATGTGTATATAGATATAATACAAAATACCAATGTTTCCACACACTGCACTGCTAGCCTTTACTACTTCCTTCACCACTTCCTACGTTGTGGACCTGTTTTCCTTTCTTCCTTGAGCATTTTAAGATTGCAGATACATTAATCTATCTGCCACAGACGGTTCCCACACACCGCACTGCTGGCCTTTACTACTTCCTTCACCACATCCTACATCGTTGACCTGTTTCCCTCCCTTCCCATAGCATTTTAGTGTTGCATATAATGTAACTGCTACAAACGGTTCCCACACCCCGGACTGTTCACCTTTACTCCATCCTACGTACACTACCTCCTACGTCTTGGACCTGTTTCCCTCCCTTCCCATAGCATTTTAGGATTACAGATACATTAATATAACTGAGATTAAGTGTTATAAAGATTGCATTGAAGTTGATTCTAAAGAGCTTCGCTTCGCTCCGCTCAATTATGCTACTATTACTGTTTACCATACCAATTTAACAACAACAACCAGAGAGTTACAGAGGCAAAAACCTTTCTGGTTCTTGCATACGCTGCCGGCCGGCTCCTACACCAGCATCTACACTGTCCACTGAATGTAAACAAATAATGTAATTTGAGAACAATAATGTAAATATATGAACTGAGCTCCTGATGATGCCACAAAAGTGCTGAAACATCGAGGATCATAATCACAAATTCTAGAATCCTGCATCCCTAAGGTAATTTTTGTTTTTTTAAGCAAGATCCAAGGATTCCTTGTACTATGGTGATCTGCTACCTTGATGTTGTAAATTAAAACCATTAACTTTTGGATAGCGAAGTAGACATAGCCTCTAAATGGAACAACTGTAGCTAGCCTGTAGTTAATTGGCATATTAGGTAAAAATCTGTAATCAAATCACTTCACACTGTTAACGCTCAATTCATCTGTGTCTATTTTAATATTAGAAACTGGCGGCAGCTTTAATGGGATATAGGTTTCATCTAAGGTGAGACTCAATAGAGGCATTGATTATTGGATACTGAAGTGGACTCTGTTGTATTTTTAGTCAAGGATAGAAGTAAAACCTTTGACCTTCAGTATCCAATAGTCAATGGTATAACTCACCGCAATGCTCCCAAGGAAGTCCAGGTAGAGATGTGAACGAAGCGATCAGGTAGAACAAAGTCCAAGAGATTATAATGCAGTAATAGATGTCTAGGAAGAATACTATTGTCATTGTGGCGTACCCAACTCCTACAAACACAATGTAAACCTTAGTCAAGTTATGAAACTGTAGTAGGTCTATATAAGTACTTGGTTTAGTAATTTTACTGTATTCTTTTGATACTCCCTTCAAAATCTGGCAAAAATTAGGGTAAAAGGCGTGCTTGTCTTAAACATTGGAAGTTTGGAAAAGGAAATTTAATATTGGAAACAAATGGAAATAGTTTTACTCTTTTTGCCCTATATGGGTGAAACTTAATGCTTTGAGTTTCATTCAAGTTATAATTTTTGTTTTGTTTTTGTATAACTCTAAATTTTTTAAATCTTAATTCAGCTAATGGATTTTTTTTAATTAGAGCCTTGGTTAGTTCTTTTGACATAGACCTCTTTTTAAAATATCTAAGAATATTTTGATGCGTAAACGTAAACCCTCAAGATTACAGAAGGGTCAAGGTGTTGTGAGAATTAATTTAAAATTTTGCTTAGTTGACTACTGATTACTGTACCGGTACCACCCATGTACTACCATGTACCCTCCCTCGGGATCACCCATTCATCTGCATTTTATGTCTCACCATCACAATTTATCACCCTAGATGTCAGACTGAACACCAGAACAATTTTACACATTACTTCACGCTAGGCTGGCGGTCATGGCTTCACAGATTAAATACATTGGTGGTTGACAAGATTTGAACCTGGGACCTCGAAGACTGAAGCTATGTGCTCTACTCAGATTTTTCCCTTCAAAGCAAATAAATCTTTTGCATTTCACTTACCCTGCAGTAAAGGACAAAGTTGTCCCACCAAGGTCATGCCACCAGCTCCTAGGTATTGCCCCACAGCCACTTCTTGGAAGAAAATGGGAATTCCACAGAACACCATGGCTATGCCGTAGGTCACCAAGAAGGCTCCTAGAACGGGGGATAAATTATAATGATATGCAATACTGGATAGGTTTTAAACTTTCTAAATGAGTGAGTGTCAAAGTAAATTTTGATTTCAATTGAAGTGATGTTGACAAGACTCAAGTCAAAACTTCTCATTCTTCTAAAACTTTAATGTTTTAAGATTATTTTACTCGACACAATTGTTTTTACGAGCACAATTATTGTTACTACGAGCAGGGGATATTTCCCAGAATTTCATGCTAGTACCAGCAATAACACCTTCATTGGCGAGTCATATGCCACACTACCAGCAATGAATATAAACAAGTAAAACACAACCCGTATTTATGTTATCACAACACTGTTAAATATGCATTAATTGAACACAACACTGATAGATTGAAATTTTGTTTGGTAACGTTTTTAATAATTTACAAAAATTATTGTGATGTCCAAACCTGAAAAACAATCACTGAGTAGTTTCGTTGAGCGACTGCTAAAGAAACCCACACTAAACCATTTTTTAAGTGTAGCCGACGTCTTTGTCTGATTTAATCGATTTCTACTGTAAAAAAATTACTGTTTGGTCTACAAAAAGTACAGAAACCCCCTGTTTACTTTGTAGTGTACAAAAGGTATTGTTCACATAGACCAAGAGGGTTTTCCTGGATCTTTAAGTTACATAGAGCTCGATTTCTTATACATGGAACTACCATATGCCATTTATCTTCCTCAACCTTTTGAGTGAAAAAAATCCACTTTTGATACGTATATAGAAACTACAACATTAAAATAATTTGGAATTCATATATAAATTGACGAATGTTTAGCCGTGACCTACCTTCTATAACTTAGTCCTTCAAAAAATTTATGCATTTTAAGTAATTTCTACCACTACTTTTTTGCAGATGTAACAAACCTTTTGAGCTATTGTTTTAAAAGTAGGATCGAGTGGATGGAAGAGATTTCTTGCTCTAAGACTGCCTACATTTTTTGAAGGGAGTATAAAAACCCAACGTACCTCCTCCGTTTTTGTAGCAGAGGTAGGGGAACCTCCACACGTTGCCTAGTCCTACGCTCACACTGATGCAGGAGAACAGAAAGTCCAGTTTGTTGCCCCATCCTCCCCTTTCCTCTTCTTCTGGCTGAGGAGGTATCACTTGGGGGGTGACTCCGTCTGAAGGGCCCTGCAATAGTATTGTATGTTAGGTATTGACAAATAAACAGTATCAGCAAACTGACCAATACTTTTCTCTAGTAAAGTGATATTGAAATCATCCTGTCTGATTCTTATATCCAAAAAAAATTTTACATAAATTATTGTATCTTATCTTGATCAAATTTCCCAAAAATACATACTGAATTTAATATAAATCATGTTACAGGTGTAGTCTTTAGCTGTATGTATAGGTACATATTTATGAAATATAGAGAAAATCACAATTGCAATAACTTTTGACTTTATGGTTAGTGGGGTAAGGTACTCGTCATGTTTGTACCCACTCACCAGTGGTTCAACTCTAAAAAAAACCCAAATGAACGTTTTGTTAGTTCTCTGCCTTATACTATATACGCCAGATTTGGGATGAAAAGGAATAAAGTGTATTACACTTTGGCAGGATGACAATATGTCTGTTTTGAAAATGTTTTACAGAAATTCACAAAAGGAAAGGAATGTTTTTAAATATACCTGTTTGGCGGAGAACTCAATAAAAGTCTGTTCGGGGTCGACGTCTTTCTCCTGACCCCAGTAGTACATCTTCTCTGACATGACGGCGAGAGATGTGGGGGAGCCGTGTTGGTAGTTGAGAGTGTACTTCTACAACAGAAAAGTGAACATTGAAATTTACTTCTAGAAGAGACCAGAAGGTAAAGGAGCTGTGTTGGTAGTTGGAGTGTAATTCTGGGACAGAATAGGAGGAGTAAGAGAGCGTGTTGGTAGTTGGGAGTGTACCATACTTATAGAATAGAACATAGAAGTAAGAGAGCTGTATTGGTATACTATGGTTGGGACTTAGGAACAGATAGGTAGTTGGGATTTGTGGAATAGAACAGAGGCGTTCGAGCCATGTTGAGAGTGTACTACTGGAACCGAATAGAACACCTTTAAGATGAAGAAATAAAAAACAAACACAAAACATGATGGCTATTACTCTATATTGGTGGAGTACTGTAGTATACATTCCATATCCTATTAGTTAGCATTGATTTTGGTTGGATACTGGATACTGGTTGTGGACGATTAACTCATCCTAATGCAGAGTTCAGTATTAGTTTTGGTATGTAATTCATTTTTAACTTAAGGATTATTGATACATTTTTTTATTATATCTAACTCTCATTTTAGAGTAAATTTTACAGAATACAATTTACTCGTAGGTTTTAATATGTAGGACAAGCAGTAGATAAAAAAAAATAGATCGGTCTATTTGGACGTTATTTTTTTTACTTCTTAAATAAAGAGAACTCACTCAAGCAATACACAAATGCCCAAGTTCCAACTACTACCACTTTTTCAGTTATGTTTTCTAGAATCTTAAAAAAATGACAAACAATTTTAAAACACGCACTTTAACAAAAAAAAAACGTTTTTTGCAAGAAAAATATTGTCACTTTTATTTATCTAGCAATATTAATAACAGCTCATGTTACATGATAATATGTCAACTTCAGATGTTAAAATATGCTACTGACACTTCAGGGGGGAGGGGGGGAGGAAATTGATTTTGTTGATCCATCCAATTCTACCCATCTCATTTAACATGATAGCCCTTGCATGAGATTAACTATTTGAATACATCATGAGCTCGTCCGTTGTGAGAATAATACTGCTTAGTGGTAAAACTCTTTTAAACTTCATTGACTAAATATACTGGTAACATCCTCTTTGTGAGCAAAAGCTAGTTTGAAATATATATATGTTTATGGCTGATTAACTTATTCTGTCAGTATGACAGTTTTAGCATTTTAATAACTCAAACGCTTCACATTATAAAAATACAAGAATTAGCTTTGGCAAGTGCTATACTATGAACAAGTTAGGTTTATAAAAACTATGAATAGAAAAATAAAACTTAATTTTATTATCAGTGTAATATAAATTTGTCTGCCTATTAGATATGTTTAATTAAGCTGCTGTATCACAAAAATTGCCTGCAATCTAAGATATTCATAATTGATTTTCTACTATAAAAAGTCACTCTTCCGCTTCCCATGTGACAACATTATGTATGTATATTTTCACAATCCCCTGGTGTAAAATATTGTACTAAGTACCGTCATTGAGTATACACGTAACACCGTGTACTTTATCCCATAGTACAAATGGCGGCCAATGTCCCGCAATTTACTGATTCAGTGCTACCAACAGTTGTATCAGCTGATCAACAACAACAACAATCATAGTATTGAAGGGAAAGTCGAAACTCCAACTGTAGGACAAGTCCTTTAGAGAAAAAACTGGATGTAAAATTTACATAGAACAACCTTGCACACATTTTAAAGCATAGTTCAACGTTCCTTAAGCAATATAAATTAATAGCTATTTACATTACAAGTGTAGTAAGAGCGTTTTTACATCACGCAGGTGAATGTTGTGCAACGAGCGAAGGCGAGTTGCATAATTCACCGAAGTGATGTAAACACGCTCTTGCGTAACGTGTAACGTACAAGATTTTACCTGACCCGACAATATTCAGGAGGTTACGAGCAAAATGCTTCATTATCAATTTTACTCATCTTCTAACAGTAAGTTCATTTACAAACAAAAGCTAGGTTAGGAAAATTCTTCAAAGCATAACAATAAAATTCAAACACACAGCTGATTACTAGCGTTGAACGTAGTTGGCTCCATAGAGGTATATTTTTTAAGTTATCCACTCAATGTTATTTAAATGGGTTTCATTGCACCACCAAGTGAGTTTTTTTTCAACTTTACATCACTCGAGAAGTAAGGAAGTTGTATACATCACGCTTGGGATAGGGAAGTTTAACATGGCGGGTTAGGTAAAATAAAATAAAACCAACGGCTAAATCGTGCCTTGGGCCCCTAATGACGTCATACTAAACAACATACAATCTGTAACCCACAGTATCAGAATTAATATAGAAGCGGTACGTGCCAACATGTATATGGGGCGACTTAAAGCTCCCCCCCCCTCCCCCTCTACGTGCTCCTACGTCACGTCTACGGCCTACAACGATGACGTCATTAGTAACCTCTAGCGTACTTGGCATGAATATAAATAGTCCAAGGCTTTATCGATACAAATAGGTTTACTACTGTTTCAGGGTCTCTGAAGCATGCGCTATTTAAATTTGCAAATTAAGGTAATGTACTTTAAGCAGTTAGGTTAGTTTAGGAAGGTTAGATTAGTTCCCTTAAGTATAAATACTTTGAAAAAACTCCAAAAACCTGTATAAAACTAACTTAAAAATTACCTTCCCTCTTATCCCTCTACCTACAAACCACGCACCTGGACATTATTAAACTTTAAACTAAACTCTAGAACTAAAACTTCAGAAGTTGGCTATATCCCTCGCACACAGGACCACTGATAAAACATTAAAGTTAGTATTTTGTCCCCTTTTGGTCTTTATAGAGTTTTACGTTATGTTTAAACGTCCACCATTTATAATAAAAGTAAAAGGTTTTAAAGGACATTTTTTTATCCGATTCATTCATTATTCGGTTAGGCTTTAAATCTCAAGATAATGTCCGAATAAGAGATAGGTTAGGCCTAGTGTACGAGTTCTAACATCCCAGTATACTCGAACCAACTGTAAATTCCAAATATATTTTGCTGACAAATACAGTGAACTGTATTAATTGCAATATATTACAGTTGTGGTTTCTAATATCTCTGGGGCGGGGAGCGAGCTGGCGTAGTGGTTAGAGCGCGGGACTTCAGTCCCTGAGGTCCCGGGTTCGATCCCCGCCAAGTCACCAATGGATTTTATCCAAGTGATAATGCCGCAACCCCTAGGTCTAGCCTGAAGTAATGTGAAAAACAATCCCAGGTTCGTGCCTAGCGTCTTAGGACAAAAAAAAAAAAATATATCTCTGGGGCATAAGTTAATGTGTTTCTCATGTTACCCTGACCAACATGACATGTTGGTGTTTCCGATGTTTACAAAATTTGATTAAACATAGCTTCACGCTTTAGAATTTTAGTCTAAGCATTGAATATCGACAAAATCCTTTTATTTTTTTACTTCAATGTCAAAATCCAATGAGGAAAACCCAAAATAGTATTCTGCATTATGCTTGTCGATCACAAGACATGCTCGGAATCTGACATGAACATAAAATATCAACCAAACACGAAAAGTAGAAATCAATGAAGCATGTGGACTTTGTGGATACTGAAAATACATTATCCGGAAGTGATTTATTGGGAGGTTCTTTGAAAGTACAAAGGTAGAAGAGTATTCACTAACATTCAACATTTTATAGAGAAAATACATTCCTTACTCTTTGGATATTGATCAGTAGTTAGTGTGATCATGTCTGAAGTCTATTTTCGAAATAAAATGGGAAAAATTAACATGGGAATTAAATGTGTTTTTGGAATTTTGTCCGCAATATTTAGTCCTACTAAGCTTCAACATAAAATATTGTTGTTTTGTAAGTTTTGCATGATGACTAATGAAATTGGACATTTTTATGTGTTTAAGAGTTAAAACACCCCTGTGGACCCAATTTTTGTTGGTTCGCGAACTCTTTAGGTGTATTCAAACACATTGATGCCAAATTTATTAAAAAATCAGACCAAAACCACTCTAGTTATCTTGTTTACGGATACATATGATAAATATATGCATTAACAATTTTACGAATAATGAAAACACTATTTTGTTCGTTCAAGAGGTCAAAAGATCTCTGGAACATCAAAATGAAAGAGTGGCCACATTCACCTACAGCTATAGCTATAGCTATAGCTTCATCCTCATCAGGAAATTCGCTAATAAATGAAAACTTTTAGTATCATAATAGGATTTAAAGAGTTGTTGGTACATAAATGTTTGAAATGAGAATAGGTTTACGAATCAAACGCAAACTCATTACATTAGATAGAAGTCTATCATGTTTAAAGAACTTCTAGCTTTCTTTGACGTCTCAGAAAACTACAAAAAAGTTCCACAGAATAAGAGAACTTCCAACTAAACCTTACCTTCTCAACCTGTACACAAACCTAAGTGGAATTGCAAAACTCTCAAAGTGGATCTAACAAGATTAAATCGACTAGAAGCTTCCTTATGGCAAAGTTAATTGCGTCATTACATTTTCTAGGAAAATCCACCTCAATAAATCGTCAATACGCCAAAACCCAAAGGGAAACCACTAATATTATCTCCACAAACGGAATTGGAGATACCAAGAATAACCTTTCTGTTGAGTTATTAAAGATGTTTATGATAACAAGGTCTCAGTGTTGGGAAGTAGCGCGCTACAAGTAGCGACGCTACAGTAGCGCGCTACTTTTTTTGTAGCGTTAGCTGTAGCGTCGCTACTTTTAAGATTTTGTAGCTTTCGCTGTAGCTAGCTACATTTTTAAAGTAGTTGTAGCGGAATTTTAGCTACTTTTCTCGCTACATTAACATTGTTTGAGATAGTGATTTTTACCATAACCTCAACCTTACGTGAAACAACATCTTTCAAACTGAGATTTTCAAAACAATTAGGCCTACTTTCTTGGCTTCATACAGCTGGTTGCAGCCGTTTCATTCCCTATTGCAACGTTGTGTGGACATGGAGGCCATTAAATGAGTGTTATCCACATTTTTAGCTCTCATTTCCTTAATTTACTACTC